GGAGTCTGTGCCCATTAACAATCGATTCCTCTACGGTTTACAGAAGACTGAATTGCCCACCGACATGATCACAGCTTGTAGTTTCTTCAGATATCTTTTCTTCAAGGCTGTAGGGACCGCATTTCATTTTGAAACTCCAAAAAGGATGTCAGTCGGGGATCAATTGACATGGCATACATGTTTCAAGATGAGTGTGCATTCATCACCTGTCATAACATCTTTGCAGATCTGACCTCGGGCTGCAACCATTGATCGATTTCAGTATTGATTAAATTACCATTTCAGTTGTTTTTGTCCAACCAACAGTCCAGAACCCAACAATATTGACAAATCTCAATGTTTAAGCCGTCTACAATTCCCTTAGAACTGGGCAAACTCCATCTACTGAGGAAGGTCGGGTGAATCAATTGAAAGCTCCAGAACAGCCACTAATGGACCTTGTTGTGACGCTCTCCAAGGATTTGCTGATTTTCTTTGATTCATATGATTGTAAATTAATTTGCGAAGCTGAAAATGGGGACTATTGTGACATTTTCTGCTTGAGTTAAATGGGCAGTCCACCAATTTTACACAAAAAGTCCAGTTTATTCTGTGAACATTTTTATGATTTATTTTGTACCCCATAAGGAAAAGTCTAATAAAATAAACCTGATGTTGTCAATAGGGTTTTCTGTTTTTAAAGAAAGCTTGCAATATTAAAATGGTATACCAATTAATCATCAAATCGTTTCAGGAAACGTTGATTTTTTCTACATTTGCATTACAGCCCATCCTCCAACATGTGAGGAGGAAAGTTTTCGGCTAATAGCATCTCGTCTGCATCACAGAAAGCAACCTGCTGTTTAATATTGAATGACTGCTGTCGTTTCCCTGCCTAACAAAAGGCTTTTGTGCTGCTTCCGCTTGACCACTTCACACACAAAAAAACACATCAAAGAGAGGGAATCTCAGCTCTCCAGCCGCCACCTTGCCCTTTCCGCTAACCCCACTGTCCATCGCAGGGATGAGGGTGCATTGTATCACCATCGGTCTGCCATCTGACCACTGGGGCAGTATGGGTCAAAGCTCAAAGTCAAAGGCAGGACACTGGGGACTGTTGTGAGGTCCGCAGGGAGCTGTAAGGCCCACCTGCCCACATACATAATAGAAAACCCACCAACTGTCAATGCTCCACCCTTGCTTCCTCTCTCTCTCTCTTTTCAGTTTCTTTCTCTCTCCACCCGCAATGACGACAGCAGCAAGAAAGACAAAACAACAGACATTTCATCACTGTCATTACCTCAGCTATTCCTAATCCTACTATCAAGTGTGCGATCCCCTCCTTTGTATCTTTACGCTAAATATCAACCCTGCAGATAATTGTTCCTTTCGTAACGGTGGACGTTATTCTATTAACTATTGGTCTGTCCTTCAGCATCCTCGAAACCACAAAACAACACTGTCCACAACATGCTGCTTGGCTGAGTAACGATGTCCACAAACACTTGTGACACTCCTCCGTCAGGGGAAGTTGTGTGATCTCAACAATGAGGAATGCGTATGAACTCCAGACTAACTAACTGCATGTGGTCCAGAGAATTTCTTCATCGCTGACGCAAAATCAAAAATCAATGTGCTTCCAACTCTTGTTTTCTGTTGTTGTTGTTTTTCAATCATGAAGCATAAATGTGAGGTGGTGGTGGCGCCAAAAAACTTGATAAGATGCCACAGATGGAGTGAATTTAACTAGTAGCAGTTTCGGTCAAAGACCTCATATGAAGGTTATGAGCTGGCATTGATTGTGTAAACAGATGGTCCCCATGCAAATATTTAATGACGCTGAAAAACCTTGACGATTGTTGAGAGCAACCCACCCTCTCCCTGATGGAGCAGGTGCACCATCTGGCAATATGAACTTTTGATGTTGGTCTTCAATGCTGCAGCAGTGCAGGCATGACTCGTATGTGTGTATGAGAGTGAAAGCAGAGCACTGAGAAGACACCGGATCCAACGGTATGTTGGGCTCCAGAGGGTTTCGGTTCGTCTCTCAGTTGGATCCATGTGGCACACCCCTGCTGCGTCCCATCACAGCACCAGGCTTCACTGGCCTTCCACCTTCATGAAAAAATGAAAGTCTCCTATTTCCCCCCCACTGTGAAAACAATACAAAGGTCACCACAATATTAAACCGTTATTTCACCACACCCCTCTGGACAATTTATTCCCCTTGTGGAATGTTCTGGAGGGTCGCTGTCAGAAGTGGAGATAAAAAGACAGGAGTGAACCATGGTGACCGAGTCAATTAACAGTGGGGGTTGTTCAGTCATCTTTATTTTGGAGGGCAGGAATTAAACTTGAAAAAAGGAAACTTTGGCCTTTAAAAATACAGTTAATAAACTAAGCTTCAGTTTTAAGTTCAGCATTAACCACAGTTTTTTAATCCATCATCCTATAAAAATGACTCCGCACAGAAGCCTTGCACACTGAGTGAAATGTGTTTTGTTATTCTATTTGTTGCTAAAAATCTCGCAATACGAAACACAACTGAATCAATAATGTGGGTGCAATGAATGACATTAATCTACTTATCAGATGCTATTTTGGATGATGTTTGCATTTACGGTGGCTCTGAGGGTTCAAACACCTCTGATGGATGTGAAAAAAACTGAAAAAAAAGACAATGATGGACAAAAGCTTGGGAGCCGGTGTGTAAATGTGGTTAATAATAATAATTATTGCAACAATTTTGGACGAAAAATACAAACTTGGTGTGCAAAGGCCCGTAGCCTGGTTATTTATATTAACCACTATTTCTAAATTTGTATTTGATCTTTTATGATATTAATAATTATACAACTTTTTTTCTAGCTGAGCTAACGTTAGCCAAGTTATTGCTATTCTAACGTTAGCTAGTTATAGCTTTAGCTAACGTAAACCACAGACAGCAGTCATAAGAGTAAAAAGAAAGATACTGCTTACACGTTACAGTGATCTACAATGTCACCTACATGTCGGTCATATTGTAAATTAACTATTTAATCAAAATGTCACTTAACCCTCTGCTGTATTTGCAACAAAAGACTAATTTGTATCCCTAACATTTACTCCTCGTATACCAACTAAAGTATGGCTGAGCTAAAGAGGCTTGGCCATACTACTATTTTGTAATCATTAGAGCGAATGCTTCATAACAGATGTGTCTTCTTTCACCTCTTGTCTTTTTCTTCACCCCAATCTTACATATTTTAAAAAGCTGTGTTTTTTTTGTCTTCTACCCAGTGAGGTAACTCAACCACTGAGCCTGTAGGCAATAGGCTTTATAATGTACAATTGTAAAACTCCTGCTCAGACCGTCCATTATAAACATCTGTACGCTTTATGACATTAGCCAATCTTTAGGCACCAGAAAAATCAGCTGGAAGACTGTTTGAATTAAGACTTACCTCCTTGTGTAAATATGCGGTAAAGTATTGTGGTCTAAAAGGTTTTCCTGAATCCCCTCCAAGACCGTATATTGGGAAGATAAATTTTCTGAGCTTTGCGTTTTTTTTAATTAGCTGCTGGTGAGTCTTTCACCGTTGGTAGCTCACACTCTGGCGGAGCAAGGCACGTATCATCTTAAACCTTTTCAGCGTTAGGAAAACATTGCCTCTGCACAGATCTCTCTGTGTGAAGCTATCTGAAATCTCCTCAGCTTTGAAGCGTGAGGCTGATGTGATCGTTTCTCTTTATTAAACACACATCTGCTTTACAGGACGCATTCACAATATAATTTTGTTCCTGGCAAGTCAGGTAAAAACAGTCCTGCTTGTGTGCATGTTCTTCATTAGGCGCCACATGATGCTTTAGCCTTCGGATGATACAATGTTCAAAAATACCCTGCTCTCAGTTCAAGACTTAAACCGTATAAGGCAACTTAGGTAAACACGGTGGATGTAGAGAGTGAAGAATCGTGGGAAAAAGTCTCCTGGGAGTGAAGTGGTTAACTCGTCTTTATTTCAAGTTAAACACTTCAGTCTTTTACGAGACGAACGCCCCAAACAACAGCCCATGATCAGAGTGAGGGGTGCCACAGAAAAGCCACTTTCCTTCAAGATAAAAGGCCCCCGCCTCAATTGCGTACGTCACACAATAATGAAAATGTGACTTTAGCCCAAAGGCATGGAGGCAAAGCGCAGGCAACCTGTAGGCAACCTGTTTGTTGATTAGAGGATGGAGTACAAAGAGAGCTGTGGGAGGGTCAACGGAGGGGAGGAAATGGAGGGTGTAGATCTACGTTGCCCCCCCGCTCTCAGCACAGATTGGAAAAGTGATAAATATGCATGAGTTTGGCTTCAACAGGGAGGACCTTTGATGGTGTGGTTGAGAGTTCTCTATCTCTGGAGCAAATAGGCTGAAAATAACTGTCGGAGAATTGTTTATGTGCGAACAATACACGCTTTTAATGAGTAGGAGAGACTCTGTTTTCATACTGAATGTCCCCTGAACAACTCCGTAGTCATAGCTTCTCTTTTATGACTGGATGAAAGCTGAAGTAATAATCTCGACTGTTTTCCTTTTAAATAAATGTCTGTTAAGTCACTATTGCCGAATGAGCTGTTGAGGATTGAGCCTATGGCCCACTGATGAGATTGTTTGCATATGCAGTATTACAAACTGGGCGTGTGTGGCGACAACCACTGGAGAGTGACAATTCAGTCCTAATCCTAAGAAAGTGGAAGAATTTCATTTTCACTTAACAAAAGCAGCTAAATATTCATATTGAGGGAAACTTCAGTTGCCCTCAATATGAAATTGCAACAAGAGCATGTGTGAACTGACTTTATTAAAGCGCAGCATCCAAATCCTGACATTCAGTCTTATTGAGTTCCCTTTTGAGATCTCTCTTGAGACTTCATTCGGAGAGCCTAACGTGGTCTTGTGTGTAGCTTTTTCTCTTGAGTTAAATTTAGTAGAAATAGGAGAAAACTTCTCTCATCTCAGTGTGGAAACATGCTTATTTGTATCTGTGTGTGTCTCAGACCTGCAGGCCTCCCAGTCCTTTGAACACTACAGTATATCAGAGAAGGCCATGGACTACAGGATCCTGCAGATGGACGAGGACCAGGACAGGATGTACGTGGGCTGCAAAGACAATGTCCTCTCCATGGACATTAACAACATCACCCATGGCACGCTTAAGGTCAGCAGATGTTTATTATCAGGATCTATGATGACGTTTTGTCTTAATACAATGCTGGCAAGGAGAAAATACAATGTTTGGTAAATTGAACAGTGTGTTAGGCACACCATATAACTGCTGCACTGGTATTATTCTAATCTGTGCAATGATATGCAAATTACCATACATTTGCCTCCATCACAACCATTTTAGGGTTATTCAAACGAGGCATAAACATGCCCGAGCTCTCTGATAGCTGATTCTGTATGCAGTGAAGGAGTTATCTTCAGTGTAATTGACAGGCATGAAGTGCATAAACAGATGGGAGAGCATTTAGGTTCCCCCAGGGAGCACTGCACCGCATCCATTTCTCCCGGAGTAAATTGCTTGATATATTCATCGAGCCAGACCTTCAAGCACCTCTCGCAGGTTTGAAAACTCTCACATTTTCCACTGACGGTAGCTGGCTCCAAACACTGACACAGGAACTTCTATCGAAACTGAAAATATTTTTTGCTTTGTTCATTTCCCGCACATTTTCCCTGTGATTAAATGGGATATGATCAAACCTCAGCTTGTCTCTCTCAATCTGTTACTGGCTCCCTGGACTCAATTCCCCACTTGTCACTAATTTGAATGCTGTGCTGTTTTTTTTTTCTTCCCGCCAGGTGTTTTGGCCTGCGTCCACGATCAAGATAGAGGAATGCCAAATGGCAGGAAAGGACCCCACGGTAAGAACCCTCGACATTTCAAAACCCTTCTCTTGGATTTCCTTAGGCCTTTTTAGACTAAAAAGTAAAAAATAAGCATCACCTGCACCTTCAACTAGAGGGCTGGAACATCTGGCTGCAGCACACCAGCGTCCCTTTTGGACCCTGTACTGTAAATGGTGAAGTTGCTGATGAACAAGATCTAGATGAAAGGTCTTGTCAGCTGTTCCCAGATCCGTTCCCCCCTCTCCCATCTGCGAGCTTGTTTCAGGTCCAACCACATGTGTGTAGCAGGCAGCAGATGTCCATAGGGTCACGTACTGGCCCCGGAGTCCTCCTGGCATCAAGAACCAGAGGCGTGGGAGGATCCACGGAGCGCCGTAGAAAAACAAACCAGAGGCAAAGCTCGCAAATGGGATGCAGCTCATTGACTCGGAGATTTCATAACCCAGCGTGATTCTGAGCAGCACCTGTTCGCTGCAACAACATTTAATGAAGGCATGCGGTCGGACTCAGAAGAGTGATTCCTCCTCCGCCTCTGCTTTCCACTAGTTGGGTTGCTCTGGAATCAGTACACGCACAGTTGCCTATAGACAGTGCAGTGCAGAGTAGAGAAGTTTTTTAAAAGACGAAATCTCCCGTGCAACTTCATCAATTCAAACCCTAATTTTCAAAGTAACACTATAAGTTACCATAAAAAGCATCAGCGCTGCCCGTTTGTCCCACATTCTCCACCATCTCTCCGTCCCCTGGCAGCAGCTGAAGTAATGGAGCCAGGCTCTTGTACGACATGCTGTTGCAGAAATAGAGAAAAAGCTGTTTCCAGTCACTGAGTGATTTTTGCTGCTCTGAGTCACAGCCCGCCCACTGCAGACAGGCTCCCACAAATATTTGGGTGAGCCATCTTTGTGTGGAGCCAGTCAGTGGCCCCTTCTCCCTTCTGTCATCCCCCTTTTTTTTTACTCACAACTCTGCCAGTTTCTCTTCTAAAACATTCTCTTTCTTCCACCGTCCTTGGTCACTTTTTCAAACCCTCGGTTTCTTCCCTACCGCAGTACATATTTTGTTTTCTCTCCCCCATGATGCCCCTCTTCTTTCTCATCGGTTTCTCCGTTTGAATCAGAGCGCCGCATCCCTTACGCTAAACATCTGTATATATTAAGTTACTCTTCTCCGATACAATCTGCGGTCAAGAGGGGCTCCAGAGAGCGACCGCACATTGTTTTTGCGCCGGGGGGGGGGGTGCCACAGAAGGAGAAAAATGCACCAACCAGGTTGATTAAGTCTGTTTGCTGCTGGCTCAGAAGCCTCCACTTTAAACTCAATGTGAACAGCACTTGAATTTGAGGTCGTAAAGGCTGGATGCTGTTTATCTGGCACGGCCAGCAAGCCTGCGTGTGAGTAAGAGTAGTAAACGCAGGAGAAAGATAAAACGGGACACAGCTACATATTTTAGTTGTATCTTCCTCTTGCGTTTCCCATTCATTTCCCACGTGGCTCTGTGAAATTCGACATCAGGTGTGGGTGCAGGCCCGGTGGGTGCGTGAGGGTTGGAGCAGAGTGTGATGAGGTGAATGGGTGATAAAAGTGAGGATAAAGTAAGACAAATGGGGAGAGATAAAGAGGAGGAACATAAATAACAAGGATGGGCGTGTGATGGTGAGAATTCCCTTGTTTTTCGTGGATGGCTCCCATTGGAGCCGCGCACCAACCGAGAGCTGCAGCAGCTGCCATTCCTGCAGCCGTGGCCAAGTTCCCGACGGCTCCCTGGATGTGTTTTTTCCCTCTCCTCCCCACTCCATTCTTCTCTCCCTTCCTTTCTCCGCTCATTTTCTGCAAGCTCAGGCTTAATTAGCCACAAAGTCCAGCGCTACCGCTTCTGCCCTTCGTGTTTGGGAAGCGAAAGCAGAGATGGATCAGTGATCTGCCTTTAACTATATATATCACATATACCACTGACACTCTTTTTCCACTGGCCTTAATACCAGACCAGTGAGCTGTGGGACTGCTTGATTGTGCAGCATGTGATTGTATACCCATCATAAGAAGTGAGATAAAGTTTGAATTACTCCCTCATATGGAATAGGATACTTCAGGAGAGATAAACAAGCTCTGGGTTCGGTATTCACCTTGGCTGCACACCAGGAAGTAGACCTTATCCCCTGTTATGTCTGAGTCAGTGTGTTGCGTCACAGCCTAGATCAAGAAAATATGAAAGTCATTATTTTTTAGAGTGCATGCCAACTGCTATTTATATTGTTATTGTATTAAATGATTATTCAAGGTTGAATAACATTAAAGCAACTCTAATGTTTGCTGAACCGTGACGACAAGTAAAACTGGAATGCTTGTAACAGTACCTCAAATGAAGAAATGTCATGAAGTCGACTCACCAATCTGTGTTGTACAACAGTATTTCAGCAAACATTAGCCGTCAAAACCAAGTTAGGCTGTAGCAGCAATACAGAGTGTATTGAATTGAAGAATGCTGCATTTTATTGCCTATAAATTTCCATGTATTTTGTACGATGAACAATGTTTTATTTCTTCTCTCAAAAGCTACATGAAGTGATGTGAGACACCAATACATTATAACAGTTGACTGTTTAACTGTAGGTTTAACATTTCATTGTAATTCATCTGAGGGACATTTTTTATTGTTGTTTCTAACCTACTGAACGTTTGACGTGTCTCTCTTTGTTTATCGGTGCTTTCCAGCATGGCTGTGGGAACTTCATCCGGGTGGTGCAGCCGTTCAACAGAACTCATCTGTTCATGTGTGGCAGCGGAGCGTACAGTCCCGTCTGTGTGTACATCAACAGGGGCCGCAGACCAGAGGTGGGAGCACGTTGACGGATTCACTTCACTATATGTATACAAACTCTTGACGGTGTAAACCATGTTTTTGGGGACATTGGCCATGGTGGTCAACACAGCCATTACTCAACTCAACCAAAACTCTCCATGTGTTTGGTAGTTTATTCACATTAAAGGACTATAGGATATGCTGCAGGCTGCTGAATGATACTACACCACTAACATGATCTTCAGAGTGTTAAAATAAAAACATCTGGTCCTTAAATCTTAGTATTTATACTTAAATTTAAAAAAAAACTGTGGAGGGGGTTTGGTGGGTTTTGTAAAGCTAGAAATAATGAGCAAAAGAACATGCAGTGATTCCCCTGTGGTTCACAGTAAACCTAATTACATTACCATAATTGATGTGCTCATTACTCCGTTGAGACAGTATTTCGTAACTCGTATTCTTTGTTATTCCCTAAAAATAGTGTTTACTGTTTATGTCACAGCCCTGAATGCGTAATAAAGTCAGAGTAGTGACAATACTGCCACCCAGAGCAAGTAAGCAAAAAGTATCTTCTGAGAGAGATTAAGTACTTGTAAAATTCTCTTTTCTCATTTTTTGAAGAATCAGATATTGACTAATTATTTAGGGATTCCAAACAAAATATGAAATAGAATGTCTTTACAGCACTCAATACTGGAAGGAGTACACCATTGCCATAATTCTGAGTCCCCAAGAAATGAAAATATATGCAGTAGATGACGACCATGTGCATATGAACTCGCAATAATCTCCTCACAGTTTATCTAACAATAGCGTATTCGTTTACTGTACTACAAGGAGTTTGGAATTGTCACCACATGAAACAATAGACTCCATAACTTTATACAAGCAAAGTTTTCTATGTAGTCAGTTTGATGCCACATGAGAGGAGATGCTGAGGATAAGCGGGTGAAAATGGAGCTCTTGTGTCAGGGATAGAAGGTTGATGGCTGATTTCTGGGCACTGCGCTCTCATCTCCGGCCACACAGCTCTGGAAGTGGGAGAGCGAGGAAGCCCTCCAGGAGAAAAGTGCTCACCGAGTGAACAGCATTTAGCCACAGACTGCCGACTGCTGCCAAGCGCTAACAAGCAGAGCGGGTGAGCTCCCAACCAGGCTCTTTCCGCACCGCGGTGCCTTTTGTCATTTGGGGGTTTTGTTTGAAAGGCAGACTGCTCTGTTTGCAACGTGTGAGCTCAAACATGTCTCACGAAAAGGGATCTGTTAAGTGTAACAAGCTGCCCCGTGAGAACGTGCCCGAGACTATTATGTTGGGTTTTTAGACTGGATGAAGTGGCTGCAACAGGAAGACAGGTTATTTGCAGTTGTCACAGTTTTTGTGTCTTGTTTTTCAAACGTGCTCCTTAGATGCGTAGTTAATGATGCACAGCAATAAATGCCCATCTTACTGAATTAAGTAGTCTTTTATGTAGTCTTTAAATCTTGTATAGGGTGTGATCCCTTTACTTTTTCAGCAGATCAATGTGAAAACAGACTTTTAGCATCAAGTTCTGCACATACTTTCAAAGAAAAAAGGTAAAACATCGCAGTAAACCAACAATAAGCACATTTTTGAGTGCATGGGGCTTTAAAGGCTCATTACAACATCAAATTGTGGTGTAGAGGTTAATGACATGGTTTACCACATGGAGTCAGTCCACCTCCAGAACCTCTTGGCGAACAGACACATTTTCTTGGAAAATTCTCCTCGGCTGACGTCACCTCATCTTCATTCAAGGAAGCACCAGGACAGGGACAGGATCGATCTATAGTTTGCCCAAGTTATACTGTAAAAGGTGTCCAGTCCGCCACAAGGAAGGGGTTTAAACTTGGCAGCCGTTCCACCTGAGATGAAGAGATCCAACACATTTTCAGGGAAATTCCTTCCAAATGGAATGTTCTGTTTTTTTACTGCTCCACATGGGCCAGTTCATGCAGGACCATTCCTGTGCTTAGAACCAAAAGGGAGGGGAACGTGAGCAGGGCTACCTAGTGGGACGTTCATGGTATGCTCCTATATACTTGCAGTTTTATTGTGGTAGAAGCTACTGGACGGAATGGCTTATCATATAAAACTGTCTCCACAATCTCTGACTTCCTCTTTTCTCCGTCACAGGAACAAGTATTTCACATCGACTCCAGGACCGAATCTGGAAAAGGGAGGTGCTCCTTCAACCCTAAAGTGAACACAGTCTCCGTCATGATCAGTAGGTGTTTCCTACCTCCACCTTCATGACTTCTGTCTTTTCACCAACCCTGAAAAGTTGGTAGTACCAAAAATATATTTAAGTTTTGTTTGTTTTTCTACAGTAGCAAGGGCCCATTCGTTTGTGTTTTGGTTCTGAGTGACACTGTTGGTACTGTAATTTGATTGGTTCAGTATCTGCCCCAGTCAGTAGTGCGCCTCTTAGCAACCCCAGCCATCAAATGTCAGTTTGTAATAGTTAATGAAAAGTGAGGAGGCGACTTCAATACACATCAAACACAAACCACCAAAGCACCCTCTCCTTCAGGCCAGGCCGCGGCCTCTCTGTCCTTCTCTCTCTGATTGGTCGAGGAGTATTGGGTTGCTGTTGACACAGCTTAACACTCGGCGACGCATTGCACCCTCAGCTCTGCTTTCTGTCACCTGAGCACGGCCGTGTCAGCAGCAGCTTTTGCCAGCTAGTGATCTCCTTCAGAGATGCCCGGGAGGGAGGGTGGAATAACCTAGAGGGGCAGGAAGGAAGGTGCTCTGCCAAATGGAGTCGAGGTCAGAAGGGAAAGGCTGGTGAAGCAGTGATGCGGCTTCTCCGAGCCTCAGAGAATCAGAAGTGTTGTCTGGACTCGATAAGATCTGCACTTCGTCTCCCCATCCGCATGTTTTGGACCCTCTGTGGCCGTCTGTGCCGTCAACGCTCCCTCCTTAGCGGGCCAGCTTGGATGTGGGCCACATTCCTTTAATCCTTCCCCAATTTGCCCCATATCCTCCGTACATATATTCCAGACCTGATGGATGATGAAGTGAGGGTAAAGGAATGATAGAACAGAGTATTTCATTAGCAGCAGAACACACACCGACTGTAAAGCCATTCATAGAACATATTTATCCGTCAAAGAAACAAATATTGGTGTATTCTATCCATATTATATTATTGTTTTTTGGTTCTGCAAAATATGTGCGCATATCGTTGACTTGCTGTGTGTTTCTTCTAGACCAGGAGCTGTTCTCAGGCATGTATATTGACTTCATGGGGACAGATGCTGCCATCTTCAGGAGCCTGACCAAGAGAAATGCAGTGCGAACAGACCAGCACAACTCCAAGTGGCTGAGTGGTGAGAGCAAACATTCTCTAGTGATTTTGGATTTATATGCATAAATACATTGATGAATTTACACATGTGATTTTTCCATTCATTTCTTAATTGTTAAAGTCTCCATGTATTCTCTTTTTTAACATTCAGAGCCAATCTTCATTGATGCCCACCTGATACCAGACGGAACAGACCCCAATGATGCCAAATTGTATTTTTTCTTCCGTGAGAGGCTAACGGACAACAGTGGAAATACTAAAAACATCCACACTATGGTGGCCAGAGTGTGTCCGGTGAGTGCCTTTGCATGTGCCTAAATAGATGGGTTATGCATGTTTGGTGGATTTGAGTTTGCTATGTGCAGCTTTTGTCTGCAGAGTGACATCGGAGGACAGCGGAGCCTGGTGAACAAATGGACCACCTTCCTTAAGGCCAGGATGGTGTGTTCAGTTCTGGAGGACGACGGTACCGAAACTCACTTTGACGAACTGGGTGAGTAGCATGAAGTAACAGGAACGCCATTGTGTTGTTTTTTACACGTTATATATGGCCTTTATTGGTTGCATGACGTCCATGCTCCATTTTATTTTCATGGTCCATTAAACAAGTTGAAAACAAACTTTGTGTTTTGGAAAACTCGAGACCATCCTAATTCCCGAAAGCTCGCTATTTTTGTTCCAAGACTTCCAGCAATTGCTTTCTCCATAAACAATCCGTGGAACTTCCTTTGTTTGGTCTGGATTAGGGCTGTAACCCTTTATCAACTTTCATAACAATTGTTCTGTTGTTTTTGGTTACCTTGTATTGGTTTATGAGCACATTAAGCTGCTTTTCCATTTAGCTCATCAGACCAGTGAATCTGTCAACATGTGCAGTTATTAATTCATGCATTCATCACTTTTTTTGGCAATCTCACCTGCAGGATGAGGTGATCTGGGATATAGGGAATTTGTTGTAGGCATTATTAGTATTACACATGTGTGTTTTCCCTTTCAGAAAATGTGTTTTTGCTGGAAACCGATCAGCCCAAGGGCCTGTTGGTGTTTGGAGTCTTCACATCCACAAGGTAAGGCCGACGGCGATGAAGCCAAGTGTAACATTCCTGCAGGCCTCAGTGGTTATGTTAATTACTGACTGGATATCAGCGGGAGGGGATGTGCTTGTCAAAGAGCCTGTTGTATAGAGACGTCATGTGTCATGTTGCAGAGCAGCTTATTCAGATGATGAACTATCAGTTACAGCGTCGTGGTGGCGCCACCATATGGCCTTCGTTTTGATTTTTTTGTCCTCGTGATTGTAAGCAGCAGTGCATTATTATGCTGCAAGACATATATTTATAGTATGCACTGATAGAGATTATGTTACATGATACATATTGTTGGATGGAGTAATACTACACAGCAGGACTTTTAGAGTGCAGAGAGAATTTCATTATTGCATTTTCCAGATGGGGGAAACATGAGCCTTGTTTGTCAGGTTTCAGAGAAAACAAGAAGGAACATGGTCACCTTTCTCTTTTTAATCGTATCTTGGAATAGTATTTAATAAGTATTGTATGTATGCCATGTTTAAAATGATCCTAAAACACTTTAGACCAACCAGTTCCAGTTCCAGCTCCAGCAAAAGAGAAAGAGACAAATACAACACAACACACATGTTTTGTGATTGTTTGTGCCTCCGTGTTTTCTTTTTGGTTTTATTGTATTTTTAACCAGCTTTAAATGCCCACTTGCCTCCGCATTACAGTCCTTGTTCGTAGTAATTCTGATATTATATGAGTATTTTCTCAACCCAATTAGGGACATTTAATCAAAATTCAATTATTAAACTCTCCTACCTCAGTAAATCTTTGACATAAGAAAATTAGGAAGGAAAAGTTCACCCCATGCCGACTAAGCCTCTGTGGTAATTGAAGACAACCATACTGAATAAACCGATTTAGCGTCTCTCGATTAGCCGAAAGTCACAGTCAGCAGGGTTGCACGGCAAATTAGGAGGTTTAAAGGAATGGTCACTTGATCCAGATCCTGCCACAGGCCCTAGATCCACTTGTTAGCTCAGGATCATAGAAAGGTTACAGTAGAGTGTCCTGGCTCAAAGAACACAGCCAAACCAAACAGCGAGGTCCTTGAGGTCTCTTACCTCGATGTTATTCCTTTCTCCACACTGTGATTCTTCCTCCGTCTCCACTTCACACAATATGCTTCTGTTCTCCTTTTCAACAAAGACTCTTTTATGTGTGAAGAAGTGTGGTTTTAAATGACTTAGCCAAGCCGCATCAGATCAATGAGGGGAATAGAGGTGAGCTGTCCCCACCGGAGAGTGGCTTCTCGAGGTTGTGGGCTTAGCCGGTTCCCACTGTTGTGTTTCATTGAAAGTATGCATCTCATTTCCTCAGCTCCGTGTTTAAAGGCTCGGCAGTGTGTGTCTACAACATGGCCGACATCCTTACCGTCTTCAACGGGCCCTTCGCTCACAGAGAGGGGCCAAACTTCCAATGGGTGGCCTTCCAAGGACGCATCCCTTACCCAAGGCCCGGAACTGTAAGTTAATTTCTGGGTCATTCATTCATTCATAATTTGGAATCATCTACAACTAAATATCTCGTCAAATATCCATCTAAACCATACCTCCTTCAACATTTCAAGCCTGAAAAAGTAGTAGGGAGAGAACAAGTCTTGTATTATCAGCCTGTTAGTAAATTTCATAACATTACCAAAAAGAAGAGGAAAATATTTGTTTGCCATCTGCATCATAAGAAACTGCAACATTTCTGGCACTGCACACATTTATGTAAATAACAAATACATAAAATAACAAAGGCCCCAATATAGACCCTTGTGGGACTCCATATAAAACCTTCATCCATTCAGATCAATTATCATCTGTACATATTCTTTTAATATTATCTGAATATGCACATGCACAAACCTTTGTCAATGAGAGACTTTACACTCCCCTTTGTTTCTCCAGTGTCCTGGTGGAGCCTTCACACCTGACATTCACACAACAAAGGAGTTCCCAGACGACGTGGTGACCTTTGTACGAAACCACCCAGTCATGTTCAACCCCATCTACCCAGTGGGACGGAGACCTCTGGTGGTACGGACCAACGCTGACTACAAATACACATCAGTGGCCGTGGACCAGGTCATGGCTGCAGACGGCAACTACCAAGTGCTCTTCCTGGGCACAGGTATGAATGTAGACGGGTCTGGCAGATTCTAGCAAAGTACAGCCAACTTTGAGGGGGGGGTGGTTAAGCATGTGAGCTTTTTGTGGAGATAATTTCTTATGGCCACATTATCTATACTATGTTTTATATTG